TTTAAACACTTAGCATACTGAAATATGCAATGAAATATGAAGATTTAGAAGTATATGAGTGCACAGTAAGACCCCCAAGCCCAGTACATATTTAACAAGATCTTAACTCCAGATTTTGTCTCCACATTCTTATTTTTATCACTGGGAGCTCAGAAATTGAAAATCCTTCTCAGAAGTATTATCCTGTGTAGTTTGCTTTTAGCAAAACTCAAAATATTTTATGCATAATTGTGTAGTCTTTAATTTCTATGGGTTTCCTTAGAGCAAGGAAGTGGCAAGATTTAGTTTAGACAACTGGTTTTAATTTTTTTTTGTGTTTCAAGGAGAAATCCAAGTGTTTGGCTAACTTACATGGCCAGAAAGGAAGAAAACTGAAATGGTGTGCTCCTACAAATCCTCTGTGTAACTTCCCGAATTAGTACTGCAAATTCAATACAAATTTATACTACAATGTATTCTAATTAAGTATTCCTACCACCATTTATGGCCTTCTAGGCTAACAATATCTCCAGTATTGGCCAACAGACCATTAACTATTCAATGACTTCCATGCTGACATCTCATCATGGTCTAGATTTTGATATCATTAATCAAGCAACCATCCTATTCCATGAATAGTCATCTGCTCAACATGAGCTCTCTGAATAAGGACTTATTTAGCCCAAATATAACATTTGGCACTGAAACAGAACAGACTATGTAGATAAGAACTTTCAAATTTGTATGGAAATAATCGTGTTTAAGCACAGTTCTACAATACGCAAAGTATCAGCTGTTTTTAATGAAATGTTGACAGTACTCAGTACAAGAGATGGCTGCACTTTCAGAATCAACCATAGGTGGGGTAAATATGGAAACTAGAAATTTGACTAAAACTTAATCTTGAACTGCTAACTTTTCCACCAGTGGAGGAGCTTGCTACAATGCAGAAGATAAAATGCAGGAGCTGCTTTTCTGCAGTGTTCACTTTCCAATAACTTCTGTTGGCAGTTTATCTAAATTTAATCTGTCTTCTGCAATGAATGGTTGCAAAGTGTAATCCCACTGGTGTAACTTGAAACAAGTTCTGCATTTAAAATTATCATTTGTTCCTTAAAAAAAAAAAAAAAAAGCAAAACAACCAAAAAACCACACTGTTTCTGTTATTCAGACAAAGCCATCTTGGCTCCATAGCTCTTTCTTAAAAAGGAACTCTGGCTCAGAGGCACAGGTTTGTGTGAAGTCGGTGGAAAAAAGTTATCCTGCATTGTACCATAACATGGTACTACATCTGTTCCTCTTCAGCAAAGAGAATAAATTAACTCCTCTGCATGTCAGTGTAACATATCTATACCATATAGCACTTCTGACTTGTAGATACTTTCTTCTTACTCGAGTTCATTGAAAACTGAGGAAATAGGCAAAAAAAATGTGGTTAGTTGTTGCAATAATCTAATAATCTGGCATTAAAATTGATAGACAGAAGCAACAAAATCCCTGTGCAGTGGGCTGAGATTCTACTGTTAATTGGCAATTATCTTCTCCACCACAGTTGCCTCTTCACATAAAGAACTTTCCAGCTACATAAATAGAGAGCTTAAGGATAAGCTTTATTATGTGCTCAGTATTGATCTGACAGTACTTTCTTGAAGTCAGTGGTGAAACTCTGACCGACCTAGTAGGAATTCTCCCCTCTACTCAGATTCAGTTTATTACCATAGTAAGGTATTTTGTGCAGTAATACTATTATATATGAACATAACCCACGTACTCCAGCAACTGGGACCATAATGTGACCATCTGGTCTTCATGGGGGACTTAAAACACTCCAATATCTGTTGGTGGGACAAGACAGAAGGATGTAAGCAAACCAGAAGACTTCTGCAGTGCGTTGATGATAACCTCCTTCTCCAAGAGACAAAGAGTCAACAAGGAGAGGTGGTGTGGTAGACCTACAAGGAGAGGCTAATAGAAAATGTGAACAAGGGCAGCCCCAGTAGCAGTGACCCTGAAATGTGGAGCTCAAGATCGTTAGGACAATATCAAGGGCATCGAGTAAGCGTGCTGCTTTGCATTCAAGGAAAGCAGACATTGGCCTCTTCAGGGATCTGTTTGATAGAGTACCTTGAGAGGCTGAAAAAGCTGGCTATTATTCAATAATCATTATTTCCAAGCTCAGAAGTGATACATTCCAACAAAGAGGAAGTCAGACAAAAGCATCAGGAGGCCTGAAATGAACATGTGATCCTGGACACATGTTCACCTGGACACCTGACACCTGGAAACTCAAACACAAAAAGGAAACCTATAAAGGGAGAAAGCAAGGACAGGTATCATTGGAGGTATGCAGTGACACTGTCCAAGCAGAGAGAGATCAGGGTAGGAAAGCTAAGTCCTGACAGAATTATATCTGAATTAAATCTGGCCAAGGAGGTCAAGGGAAACAAGGAAGACTGCTACTAATATGTCAGTGATAAAAGAAAGTGTAGGGAAAATGTGAGTCCTGTCCAGAAGGAAATCAGAGACCTTGTTACCCAAGTTGTAGTGAATGGTGAAGTATTCAACAGCTTTTTTGCCTTAGTCTTCATTGACAAATGCTCTAGCCCTACCATCCAAGTCGGAAACCAGAGGATGGTACTAGGAGAAATGAAGGATCACCCACTGTAGGAGAAGAGAAGATAAGGTTTGAAACCACCTAAGGATCCCAAAGATGCCCAAGTACACAGGACTTAAGACACATCCTAGGGTCCTGAAGAAATTGGTAGACGAAGTTTCTAAGCCACTATTCGTCATATTTGAGAAGCAGTGGTAGCCCAGTGAACCCCAATCTTTAAAAAAAGTAAAAAGGAACACCTATCAAATCATGGACCAGCAAGTCTCCTGTGTCTGGTGAGATCACAGAGCAGATCTTTCTGGTAACTATGCTAAGGCACATACGAAACAGAGATAACTCATCACAGGCAATATGACTTCACTAGGGGCTAACTCCACTTGACAAATTCTGTGGCCTTCAACAATGGACTTACAGCAATGGTGAATAAGGGCAACTGATGTCAACTGAATGGACTAGTGGAAAGCATGCGTCCTGCATGACATTCTTGTCTCTAAATTGGAGAGACGTGCATTTGACGGATCAACCACTAAGAGGAACCACCTAGATGGAAAGGGTTGCAGTCAATAGCTCAATGTCTACATGGAGACCAGAGATAAGTGATCTTTTTCAGAGATCTGCGCTATTTAACATCTGACGTAGGCAGTGGCTTAAAAGTTCAGTAAGTTTGCAGGTGGCACCAAGAAACATGGTGCAAATCTTGATGGAACACAACAATGGGATGCTATCCAAAGGGACCTGGACAGGATTGAGAAAGACCTGTGTGAACCTCATAAAGTTCAACAAGGCCATGTGCAAGGTGTTGCACATGAGCTGGGGCAATCCAAAACATGAACGTGGGCTAGCTAATAAGTGAATCAAGAGAAGCACTGCAAGAAGGACTTTGGGGTCATAGTAAAAAAACACGAGCTGGCAATGTGTGCTTACAGCCCAGAAAGCCAGGCATGTCCTGGTCTGCTTGAAAAGATGCCTGACCAGCAGATTGAGGGAATTGTTTCCATCTAATGCAGTCTCATGTGACACCACCTATATTTAATTCTGCGGTCTCCAGCATATAAAAGCTGTGGATCTGATGGAGTGGCATCCAGGATGAGCTTCTCTATATTATAACACTTCCCCGTAATAAAGGGGTAAATGAAGATAAGAGAAGAACGCTTCTCTTTTTCATTCCAGAACAATATAGATTTGTCAAAACTGCTTCTGAAAGCTAGGAACAATCTATTTTGAATGTATAACCTTAGATTCAAGAGCTGATTCAGAGGTGAATTCTGTCAGGGATTTATGGAGGAATGATATGGATTCTCTGTGTTCAAGCATGCTGTTCACTGTCAGACATAGAAGGAACATAAATAAAACTAAGACAAAACTAAGAGCATTAATTGCATTGCTTAACTTTCAGTTCCCAAGCTTGTATGAATTATAACTACCTGAAGGGAGGTTGTAGTAGTGAGGCGGGGGTCACCCTCTTCTCTCAGGTAACAAGAGATAGGGTAGAGGGAATGACCTCAAGTTGCTTCAGGCAAGATTCAGGTTGGATGGTAGAAAACACTACTTCTCCGAAAGAGTGGGTATGAGAATAGACCAATCACAGGAAAATTTAATGTTTTTTTTACTTTTCAACATCCAACACCTCGTTGAACCAAGACTGATCACATGATCACAAGTGGATCATAAAGTACCACAGACTTCACATCACGATCTATGTTTTGTAATCAACATGTGGCAGGATCATAATCTCTCTACTGCATTAGAGTCATTTAATGAGCAACTTCTGCAAAGACTACAGTTGTATTATATAACCACAAATAATTTAGTTAAAAATGCTAATCCTCAATAGAAAGTTCATGCTCGTGTTTTTCTTTTTGATATTGAGATGACTCTCTTTAAAAAAAAAAAAAAAAAAAAAAGATTAAACTTGGATTTCAATTAAATATCTTTCCAACTTTATGTTCAGGACATGTGAAAACCTCACTTACATACCTTATGAACTATAATATATTTAGCAGCATTTGCATCATATCCATCTCCATATATATAGAGATATATATATATGTATGTATATGTATATATATATAAAAGATACATACAGTTTCTCAAACTTTCATTGTAATTTCTTTGAATATCCTTTTATAACATCTAAAAAATAAAACATTTTGACACTAGTTTTGTGTGATCTGGTGTCACTGACTATAGCATCTTTAAACCAGACTGACTTTCTGTAGACTTCACATTTGTTTTTAATTAAGGTCTAGTACAGCACAAACTATAGGTTCACTCCACTCAGCAATTCACTTCAGATTCAAAACGGCCAAAATGTATTGCACACGGAACATATTTCTTTGCTTTTCCATATTGGAACCCCAAGTTATTTTGAAATTTGTCATGCAGAATAAATATGGACCTATCTTACCTTGCATGTGTTCCACATAGCAGTACACATCGTAAGTTTCATTAGGAAAACGGCGTCCATATGTTCTGACTCCTTTCTTTCCCATTTTATCTCCAAAGCAACCAATCCTTGGATGTCTAATTGGATATCTGAAATGCAGCATGTCCATATTTATTAACACAATAAGTCAGAACATTAAGTTTTTACAGGCTAAGCATACTAATTTGGAGAAACTCTGTCAAAGAGTGTTCTAAGCATCTCACCTAACAGTCTGGTCAGACAACCAGCCAGCATCACACTGTTCAAATCCATCTTCATATGCTGCTTTCAGTTGCTCTGGGCTTGCTATGACAGCACCATTGTCCAAACAAGTCTGCTGAGCTTGCGTAAAATTCAAAGTGTACCTGCTGGTGGCTGCACGATAGTGAAATACTACACCTGAAAAGATAACAAACTCAGATTACTGACACATTTTGCATCATTTCTGCAGTCATCATCATATTGTAACTTTACCTGGATATTATTATGATGGTAAAAACAGATGGGTACAATTAAAACACTAGAAGGCTGAGATATTCCACCAATTGAATTATGCCCCTCCCTCTAGTGGCTACTACCAGTAACTATATGACACCCTATCTTTTTAATAGTTTGAACTATATTCAGCATATTTTGAAAAAGTAATTAAACCATCTAAGCATTTCCACTTAAGTATAATGGAACATTGTGACCAAAAAGAACGTACACTGAAGTATATCCATATGCTAAGGCACTACCTGACACACTCACTTGTCAGCCCATCCAATTGCAAGTCAAATCAAGTGACCAGGCAAGACTGAACAGACCTAATCAAAAAGCAAGAAAAGAACCAGCCTTTTGGAAGTAGCCAGCTGCAGTAACTGCATGCAGAAATGCCAAGAGTGAATGGGGCAACCCTTGAATGTTTGAGATCTGTCAGCCACAGGGAAGCATGCAGCAAGCAGGCACACCAAAGAGTTTCTTTTGAGGCAAGCTAAATCATCAGTGATGGCCCTCATGTCTGATCCTACACATTCACAGATTATTGCAAACACAACATTTATAAGTATATGCCTGTTGGCCTATTTTTCATTGCTAGGCTTTCCTGCATGCAGTACCAACAATATAGACAAAACAAAGCTTGCTTTTATTATTGCCTTTCTGATTCTGGAAAGAATCTAGACAATTTCCACAATTACAAGAATATGTCAGATGTCTGGAGAGAGAAGGGTAAGAGTTAAGATGGTTTTTGTTAAGACACATTATGTCAAGGAACCACATTCTGTTTTCCATACACTTATGATTCAAACTCAGTTTGACAACAGTTGTGTCTGAACACCTAAAACAATATAAAGGGCACCAATTCTAAGATGGCCCATCTGACCAAATCACATCCTTCTCCATTGCTAATGTCTTTAACAGTTTAGCACCAAAAGGATATGATGACTGAAAAATAACACCTACTCTCATTTATTTAAATGAAAATCTTCAGAAGCATTATAGTACCATAAATAATCCACTATGCAGAATTGCCACAAAACAAGAAAAATAAATCACAAAACGTTATTTTTAGTGATAATTTTATTGGGGTATTTCCTGATGAGGATACAGTACACTGTTATGACCTTGGAAATGTTGGCATTAAAACAATAACAAATTTAATGAGAAGTCTTTGTTATTAGTATACTGCTGAAAGATGGAAGTCTGATAACTTACTAGTAAGCAGCAATATGAGAAGCTTCCAAAAGTGACCAAATTCCAACATACCTAGAAATTGTAGGTGCTTTTCCTAAAGATTAATTTAGTAAAATTATCCTATCAAAGATCTAACTATGGACAATAAGCAAAAAATACTATTTTTTTTCTCTTTATTGTGGTTTGCTAAGAAAGTTTCTCAAACAAAATTACAACACACTATGTGTATTCACACACAGGTAGTTCAAAGCTCAGTCATCAGACATCAATTTTCATTAAAGCTTCTGGCAGAAAACAAAAGAAATGGAAGAAGCACCAGAAATTTCAACTTTACTGTGGACCCACACACCAGCTGCAGCCACCGCTTGGATCCTCATAGGCTACTATTGACCCATAAAGTGCATTTTCAGAGTCGCTGACAGAATACATAATGCATAGCTCTTCTTACAAACAGCAAAGTAATTATTTCAGCTTCAAATATTGAACTGGCAAAGCCCAAAGTGAAGAGCAGGTCACAAAAAAATTATGGCTATGTTTATATTACATAAATTAAGTATTCCAGGTGCAACTCCTGCAACTCCATCATCGTGACTGCTAAAACTGCTAGACTAGTTCGGCAAGTTACTTGGCTCAGGCCTCCTAACATCCTTCCAAACAATTTTCTAGGCAGACTTCAGGAGTTAGCAAAAAGCAAGGACAGCTGCCCGTGAGCACCTTTCTTCTCTCTTGAGCATGAGAAGAGCAAGCGTAATGATACAAAATGAGGACCACAGCACTCCAATGGCCCGTGCACTATGGCACAGCCTCAAGGAAGATATGCTCTTACTAATGAAAACTCTCTGTTCTGAGAGACAGGGAATGTCAGAGAGTGAGATTTACCAGCTCCTATGCCCCTACACTTTCTCTGCTGTAAGGCTTCTTCCACTGCCTGCTTTAGGCAAATTCACAGATCATTTGTGTTGCTTTAAGTTGTGCAAAACTTTATCCATGCATACGTGTTTGTATACCCATAAGCATATGTGTAGCAGTATTTTGGCTTTGTTTACCCCACAACCATGCAGTTCCTTATCACATGTCCATGTGTCCACAGTACACTGCCTTACAACACAAAAAGTTAAGGTAACAACAACTAATTACTTTTTGAATTTAAAAATTCAAAATAACAAATATGTTATTTGAAGATTTAAGAGCTTTATTTTAATATATTGGTTATTTTATAACACAGTCAATAATCTGGGCCACATACCTGCTGGTATAAACCAGCATGACTCTATTCAGTGGCACAATAGTAAATAAAAATGCTGAGGTTCAGTTAACCTGTTTGGTCATGGTATAATTCACAAGCTGTCCAACTTGGCCTTATTGTACCAGTAGCATACAATATTTTACACTGACTGTTTATACAGAGTCAAGCCAGAAATGCACAAGTATGTGAAGTAATTTGCTCATTTGGCTTGTTGTTTTAATTTTAATTAAAACAAATTTTATAGACATTTAGACTCATTGCCTCAATACTTTTTCCCCCCTGCAAGTTCACTTAACTGATGTAACATGACTTCATCAAGGCACAAGAACACTGCTTTTCCATAAAGCCACAGAAAGGTTTATTAACTTAGCAGGAGAAGGCAACATACTTCTCTAAACTCGCATTATTTTAAAGCTTTAAGCTGCCTACATATGAGTGCCTTCTCAACAAGCCCCTTATTTCTTACAAACTGAAAGCAATCAATGGCTTTGCTGATGACATGTGGACCTTGCATTACCTTGGTAAGGCAGAACTAAAGAGTTAGTGCTAACATAAATTTAAAGAGCTGCTGAGAAAATGCCTTTGGTCATTTGTAAATCCTGGAAAGGAACTTGGAGAATGCTTTGTTCTCCTCACCCAGATCCAAAAGGTAAACTTCACCTATTCTCCGAGTTTAAGGCTCTTCCATTTCCACTGAGGAGCCAATGGACATAAAAGAGCCTCCAAGATGAATGGGTAGGAAGACGTCAGTATGTATAAGCCTGAGCAACAGCTGCAATAATTAGAAGACCCCCTGGGGCTAAGAAGATTAAAGTGCAGGACTTTCATTGTTTCAGTTAGACAGAGAGAAGGGGGCAAAATCCATTGTCCGAGTTCTTGCACTTTACAACATTTGTAAAGGATTTTTCCCTTTTGTCCACTTGCCCTCTGAAAGAAAAGGCAAGAAAGGAGTTGTCTTAGGAACAAATAAAGTAACTGGAAAACAGACTACAAGAGCGTAATGTTGTCACCGAACATCTGGCAAAGTCAGTCTAATTACAGGAAAGAGCAGCAGTGTCTGCAAAAAAGAGCACTCACAGGAAAGTAATCTGCAGCACCCAAAAATTCACTGCTGCTGCCTGAGCAAGAGAGAATGTCTTTTATTCACTTATTTTTGCCTTACACCAGAGAAGGAAAGCATGAAGTATTTCACTTAACAAACTAGGACCTTCCTGAGTAAGAGACTGATACTATGGTTTTGCACCTTTGGATTGCAGCTTTGCTTTATCACTTGCCAGGGTATCATGCTACAACACTTCCTAGAACTGGAGGGAAGGGCTCCTTCAAGACACTTCCTGCTTTATTGTGGCTAATAAACAACAGCTTTCACTAGTGAGCTCATGCTGCTGCAACTTGCCTGCCTGGAGTCACATAAAGACTGAACTTCAGAAGTAGTCTCATAACACAAAGAATATGTAAAGAGAAAAGATAATTATGGCAGTTGTTATTCTGTTCATTTTTATTTTCAAGTCTCAGTCAAAGTGGTATAGACCCTTCAAGCATCCCTCAATGCCAAAGCTAATAGAGTTCTAAACAAATTGGGTGATCTTCCTTACTTTTATGCAGAAATCAACTTACATTACAAATACAATCCAAAACAGAGGCAACAGGGAAGAGCACTGCATTAAAGGAAGAAACAGGAATTTTGAGCTTCTTGCAATAATTCATCTCTTCTCCCACTCCAGGCTCTGCAAACATCTTGCAACTCCCATCTCTTGCTCTGGCAACCTGAGAGCAGCCTTGCATTGCATTCACAGATGTCTCCAGGATCCTCTCTGCATGCAAAGAGGAAGCACAAACCAACCACCCAGTTCCACTTGCTGGCTCTCCAAGGACAAGGCTTCTTGCACCAACTCGCACATCACCCCTCTGCCCAAAATCTTTGCTTCCATCTTTACAAAGTAATGCAGCAACATGCAAGTGTACACAGACTCCTCTAAACAAGCTAGTGCAGAGAAAGAAAGCAGTTGATGCTCAGCCTGAACTGCATTCTTCTGACAGACAACTTGCCAAAGTGGAGGACTTGGTTACTACATCTGCAATACCTTGGAACAGACAGCCTAGATCACGTACCTGCTGTTACCTCTGCATAACAATGTAGTTGGACACACAGCATTCAGTGAGGCCAAGACACTGATATTGAAATTTAAATTGTTAAAAAAAAAAAAATTAAAAGAAATACATAGCCTCTCAGAACTGTTCTCACAATAGGAGATGATTGACAGGATAAAAATCAGTGTAGCTATGCATATCAGCACCTACTTTACTTTATCTTCTTAAGGGAGAAGGTGTGTGGTCCTCTGCACATCCTCAGCCTGACACCAAATCACCTGCAGCCTGAAAATCAGCTGCCACCTTCCAAGTCCCTGTGCCAGGGCTGTGACAGATGTATCATAGCATCCTCATTCCTACTCCCTAGGCACAGATGCATGCAGAACCG